TATTTCTATCCTTTCCATCCTTTGTTTTTGTTTCCCCGTATAGGAAGTTTCATAGTATTTATTAGTAATAATGTCTACATGATCAGGTGCTACTAGCATTTTCAAGAAATGGAATATTGGAAACCTTGAAATTGGAGATTACCTTGGTACTTCCTGCTGTTTCCTCTGTGTTATTTCTTTCAAAACTGTGATTGATAACTTCTCTGCATGTTTCTCATCTATCTCTATTCGTTTCCAGCTATTGGAGCAATCTTCTCTGCAACAGATTCTGTTTGCACCTTACAAGTCAGTATTAGTCATACTTACTTAATAAAAAAGCTGCAAAGTCGTAGCATTTTAGGTTGGTCAGACTAGCAGCTCTCTTACTGATCAGGCATATTCTATTTGGAAAATGTGTAGGTGCTTAGTCAAGATGAAACACCCTTACTGTACAGTCTAGTTTTTGGGGAAGGTGTTGTGAATGATGCCACATCTGTAGTTCTGTTCAATGCTGTCCAGAACTTTGACTTATCTCATATCAACACAAGCAAAGCTCTGGAATTAGTTGGAAACTTTCTGTACTTGTTTGCGTCGAGCACCATCTTAGGGGTTGCTGTGAGTCTCTCTCTCTCTCTCTCTCTCTCTCCGCACATGCTTGTGTATCCTTATTTGTGATTTTTTTTGTGCGCGCGCGCATTGCACCAGTGACACAAGACTGACATTAAACATTTCCCTGGTGCAGACTGGTCTACTGAGCGCCTATATAATTAAAAAACTCTACTTTGGAAGGTTCGTATATATTTGCTTTCACAAATAAACGTCCTTTTGAATGCTCTTCTTAGGTTAGTTGCAACAGATAAATATTTGGATATATATATATATTAATCCTGAAGTTGGTAAATTGGTTTTGTGCAAAAGACTACTCAAGAAAATGGACTGCCGGTGTCTTCTTAGAAATTTTTGTTCTCTTAGATTGCACAATTTTAAGCTTACATGATAGATAAGAAAGATGTCTCTTCATTAAGGACTTGGATTACTTACTTCTTGATGATCTCCAGGCACTCTACTGACCGTGAGGTTGCGATAGTGATACTTATGGCTTACCTATCATACATGCTTGCTGAAGTAAGTTTCTCGATTAAGTAGCTGGTTAACATTTTTTCCTTTCGAAAAGTAAATTAATCACTTCCTTTCTGGGAAATATTTATCTTTCTATAAAGTTATCACACTGAAAGTTTGAAACTATGTTGATTGCAGTTATTCTATTTAAGTGCAATCCTCACTGTGTTTTTCTCTGGGATTGTGATGTCTCACTACACCTGGCATAATGTGACTGAGAGCTCAAGAGTCACCACCAAGTATGTTTGTACAACTTTTGGAACACTATTGATGGAATAATGTGTTCAATTGCTCCTATTTTCGCCCATAAGATGGTTTAATCCTAACATATCATCTTCATCTGTTTCCCAGACATGCTTTTGCTACATTATCATTTATTGCTGAAATATTCATATTCCTTTATGTTGGGATGGATGCTTTGGACATCGAGAAGTGGAGATTTGTAAGCGACAGGTGAATTTCGATATCATTGAAGTTGATTATTTACTATTTGATTATATGCAAGTGGAAAAAGACTTACATGATTGATGGTTTTTTGTTTCAACTCTATTTGCAGCCCACAATTATCAGTTCAGGTTAGCTCCATACTGTTGGGTCTTGTTTTGGTTGGAAGGGCAGCATTTGTTTTCCCCCTGTCATTTTTGTCCAACTTGATGAAGAAGTCTCCGGAGGAGAGGATTAGCTTTAACCAGCAAGTATGTGCTAATAACCTGTTAATTACTGTAAAAGTCCTTCAAATCATATGGCCTCTCGTTATATCCCTTTGCTGATTTTGCAGATTATAATATGGTGGGCTGGACTTATGCGAGGTGCTGTTTCAGTGGCTCTTGCTTATAATCAGGTAAAATACTAGTATCTGATATAACTCTGGTATCAAATTTCATGGATTATTTTTGCACGTTGCATATAGTCTTGCGTTTTTTTTTTTGACTGATTCCTTAATTTCATGCTTGCAGTTTACCAGGGGAGGCCATACTCAGTTACGTGCCAACGCCATAATGATCACAAGTACTATCACTGTTGTCCTTTTCAGCACAGGGGTAAGATATCTTATCTTTTTGTATACATTTAACAAACATACATTAAGTGGAGAAACATACACCAAAAATGTGCTCCTTTATGCTCAAGGATAGACCATCTCAAATTTTTTCCTCTGGAAACTTCAATAAAATGCTTTCAAACAAAGTTTTAAACCTGGCAGGCTGGCAACAATATTCCTCTAGCGCTTGTCTGATACTTCTCAACTCGTGAAAGATTTAGAAACAACTTTCCAAAATTCATGTGTTTGACTGGTTATTGAATTAGCAAAAATCCTTGGAACCTAAGCATGTGTGGCTTTAAATATAAACTACAAGCCCCTTAGTTGAGGTCTAATATTGTTATGCTGGTCATGCTGGCCCCTTCTGTTTTTTTCCTTTACAGGTTTTCGGGTTGATGACAAAACCTTTAATTAGATTATTGCAACCCTCATCTAAACACTTGAGCAGAATGATCTCTTCTGAACCGACGACCCCAAAATCCTTCATTGTGCCACTTCTTGAAAGTACACAAGACTCAGAAGCTGATCTGGGCCCAAATGTACCCCGTCCCCACAGTTTGCGGATGCTCCTATCAACACCATCTCACACCGTGCATCGTTACTGGAGAAAATTTGACAACGCATTCATGCGTCCTGTTTTCGGTGGACGAGGTTTTGTACCTTTCGTTCCAGGATCACCAACTGAACCAAGTGGTCAATAATTGCATTGCTGGATATGCAGATTACAGAAAATCATTTCTGACTTGGGAGAGGGAGGGAAGATGGCAGTTTTTCGGTTTGAGGTTTTTGTTTACTGTTAATAGCTTTTGGGTGTTGCTATGTGGTTAAAAAGGGGTTGTCTAGTTTTTAGATTTATTTCATTTTTCAGCTGAGTGCTGGCTTTTGGTTATTTCTGACAATTTCTATCTGAATTCCTTGGTTTTCTTTTTTGGTTAGTAATTTATCAGAACACCAAATAGGTGTATATTCTCTTTAAGGCATATGGGCATTAGCTACAAAAATTATCTTGTAAAATCCTTCTACAGGTTAGAGTTTGGTTCATCATATGTAGAATTCACAATGGTTGTAACATTCTAATTGCTCAGTAAAGTTACTTAGATACACATTCCTTGTGAACAGCTCTTTTGGAAATTTCTTGGTTAATTGATAAGTTATTAATGTCGTGGATGAGTTTTTTCTTTAATTATATCCCTTCCTTATACCACTTAGCACGCATCTGATACAAACTCTTCAGCTGAAATTTCAGATTCATACAATTCTGAAACTATGATGTTGGAATATGATCATATGCAGAAATTCAAGAAAAAAATACAGTCCAGTGAGCACAATGAAGTGTTGTAACACAATTATTCACAAATTTCAATTCAAGATTATACAATAAAAAATGTAACCAGATAAACATTAGTATATTATATATGAAATTTTTGTAACATGCAAAGTTGTTGAAACAAAAACAGCGTACACACTAAGAAAAATACAACGTGACGTGTTGAACTTGAATGATTATGAAAGTATTATAACATGCACATTGAATGATGTAGGTTAGTTATTTTGAATTCAAAATCAGATGATTAATAGATATCTTAAATAGCAACACTATGCTTATTTAATAAATGTTAAACTTCATTTTTAACTATGTTTTAAGTTTCAGTTATATAATAATTTGTCTTCGATTGTGTAGGATATCACTGCTATACAGTTGTAGATTCAGAAAATAACTCATCATGACAGCATTTTTTGGATTTTAAATAAATGATGAGTGAAGTATTCGGATAAGCATGAGAGCACTATTAGAGAAATTTCAACCGTTTATAATGAAATTTCTCATTTTGTATATATGCATTTAACATTTATGAAAAACATAATGATAAATTTTGACAAAAGTCCGTATAATTTGTTCTACCAATACCAAGAGCTTGCACACAGTTGAAATATAATAAAACATGAAAAAGATTGAAAAAATAGATATGGCCGTTGGGGAACTTTGAAAGTGCAATAAATAAGGTAGATTTAATAATAAAAGAAGATCGTGTAAGGGCGAAGTAGGAGAGAGAATAGTGAAGTAACATGGGAGAAAAAATTTAGAAGAGAAAGTGGATTGATTTGGAGTGAAGACATAATTTATGGAGACAATTAAGTGGAGATAATTAAAAACTCTATTTAAGCTAATTTTACTAGTGATATATCTAATCTGATACAAAATTAGTAGTAGTAAATAGTGAAAGAATAGATAATTGATAGTAGTTATTTAATAGTGTAAGTTAAATTATTAATAAATATGGTATGCATGCAATATGCATATCTAATTAGGTAGTTTTTTCATATTTTTTCTACTCTTTCAAAATAACTAGATATGCAATTAATTGCAAAAAAAAATGTGTCCCGTTTGGCTCTTGAGTTAGAGTTCGAACTCACCTCCTTTATTTTATTTCATAGCCTCTTCTGTAGTCTCAATCGGAATAGCTAGGCCAACAATCTTTTTCTTTTATTAGGAATAATCGAATCACCAGCAAGAGGTCTGAGTAACTATTTCTTAGATTGACAATTTTTTATGTTATAAACCTTGAATCGCTTCTCATCATCACTTATAGCATCAATCTCTTCATTTCTTTCTCCATAGTCTTATAGTAATGCTTTAGTCCATATTTTTATGAAAATAAAATTAATGCCCAGCTCAACATTCATGCACATCTCCAGCTGACTGCTAGAGATGTATTAAAAGGGAAATCTTCAAAGAGAACTCCAGATGACTAGAGGCCACAGTTCGAATCACACTGCACTGCACTAGTTCAAATCTCAACAGTTTCATAACTATATTGTTGCCAGTTGTGGAAAAAAAGAAGAAAAAAGTGAAATATAACTATTACATAACTGAAATATTATTTTTTCCTCATGAACTCCACTTTTACATACTCATTTTGAAAAAACTCGTTAGGTTGACAACTATTAAAAGAAAAAAAGATGCAATTGTCAACATGCTGAAGACATTGTAAGTTCCTAAACAGTTACAAATATACTAAAGCCAAGCAAAATCCTTGTTAAGCACGTACAAGATACCCAATGGTGAGACAAATCAATGCAATCATGCAAAGGAATAACGGGGGAAAACCAACTTGAGATCTTTTTCCAACACCCTTTGTCTTTAGTAATGCCTGTAAGAAATGCCAAGTTTTAGAAGTTAGACACAGCCTTGAGATCAATCTGATCCCACGTTCATATGCAGAAGAATTAGTTGAAGTACTTTTTAGCTTTTTATTAAGAACCAGCAAAAGAAAGGATTACTTGGTTTCGATGGGACTTCAATTCATTATGAAGTCACTTCAACTAAATGTAACGTTTCTCAAAAACATTTCAATCATTATTGTTATTAACTGAGCAAGTGATTTTCCTAGACATTTTGCAGCATTGAGTTTCATGGTGGCAGAATAGCCAATGATCTATATCGTTTCATTGGGAGGAAATTGATATATGGTCAATGAATCAATTCTTTTCAAAGTTTTTGATTGCAAAAGATTGGAAAATGCTGTTCTTTCTGAGGACACTAATTACATCTCAACTCAGAAAGCAAAGCATAAAATGAAGAACTTAAAGCAAAATTCTTCTCTGATTAGGCTTGAGACGGACAACTGATTGAGATTCGAAAGAAAACAATATCTAGCAGGACTCTACTCCATTGTAATATAAAGGAGCATACATATTTTCGGAAAAAACAACATCAACATAGACTTAATCAGCATAAAATGGAGATAAAACTCATAAGAGAAGTTGCATTTCTGCCTCAAGCGCAAAAGCGACATTGCTTCAGATTCTAAAGCAACTCTGGCAGGATCATTCAATTCTTTGTTTATATATACGTAAGATGAGCGTCCTAACTGCTTCATCGAATTTCTTTATCCACATAAATGGTCCTAATTGAACTTTTTTGGAAACTGGTAAAGTTGGCTATTATTGAACTTATCACTCAAAAATCTTGAATATTCAAAAGTTGAGTTTTAGGAGGTAAAAAGATTCTGCAGTTCCCAGTTCTTGTCAGTTAGCAGTAGGAAAATCAACAACAAATAAACTCCTCATTAACCTGGTAACGCCCTTTAAACAGAAAGGAAATCAAACTGATAGAAGTAGTTACTCCTACAACCTGGAAGATTCATTATCTTGGCTTTCTTTAAGGAGATAATAGGATAATAGCAGCACAGTTTGTTAGAGAAAAGCACAAGATATACCACAAAGAGTACAAAGACAAGAGACAGGCATAGAGAGCTTTAGAGACTAACCAATTCTTGCTTCAAAATTTCCACGTCTTTGATGGTACTTCGCTTCTCTTCTTTTAACTTTGCAATTATGCATTCAGCCTGCAAGGAAATTTTCATCAAGTTCCAAACTCTTTGTTTGAGCGCCAAGGGTGTGTTGGGTTGGTTGGGGTTTGGTGGGGGAGGAGGAGAGAAACAAAATCTGTAGGCTTTAACAGTTGATTACTGACTAAAACCAATACGGGTTCACTATCGTGATAGTGCATAACCAAATATACTCAAATTGTGGAGTACCAAGAATCTACTACAAGAAGACTAACCTCAATAAGCTGAGAACCCAGTGAATTTATCTTAGACTTTAGCTCCTCAACATCTTTGGATAGTGACAATTTTGTCTCCATGTTCAGATGTCTTGATTTAACAACCTCAACCTCATTGGCATTAGACTCCCTGTTCTTAGGAGAATTCAACTTGACGTCTTCCGCAGTCTTAGCCAATCTTGGCTCCTCTTCTTCTGCATCAAAATCTGCACCATTGTTGTTCTCAACCACCTGCATTGAGAAGCAATTGTCTAATAGATAGTCACAGTCCAAAAAATTCTCATTACATAAACACCTTTTACGCATACTTGACATATTGTTTCATCAATTCCATCAATATTGGACTCGGTATTTTTTGCAAAGTTCAGATCTTTGACGTCTGCAATGTTACCCAATCTTGGTTCCTCTGTTTCTTCCTCAAATTTAATATCCTTGTTGTTCTTAACCACCTGCATTTGGGAAGAAAACTTCTACAGCTGAATTATCACAGTTTCAGAAAAGGAAATATGTCAAGATAATATGTTTTTCTCTTGCTGACAATAAGCAATGACCATCCGCCCGAAAAATTTAATGTCATCAAAGTTTATAAATGACCTAAAGGTATGGAAATATGCAGGGTAAAATTGTGACCAACCGTAATTCACTAGTTGACATTCTCTATGATTTTTATCAGATAATTAAATAGCCAAATCCTGGAAGATACTACTATACAGATTAGTAAAAGTGATGATAACGCCACTTACAGTTTGAGCTGGAGGAAGGTTTTCAACACCACTTGGGAATTTTTCCTGTTGCATCAAAGTCTCAATAGATGCACCTTGCTTGGAAATTCCATTAGCTGGCTGCAGAACTGGAGACTGGGGTGGGCTAACCAGAACAACCTTTAATTTGCACTCGTCAATATATTTTCCATTGTCTTTGTTGAACTGGCAAAATAAAAAAATAAAAATGAGAAACTATAAAATATTAGATTCAGATGACGCACTGCAATTTTTACCATGCTGGGTGGAATTTCCTCTTCATTAGTTCCAAAAGGAACAACTGTGCACTGAATCAAAAATTTATCCTTGCATTGCATATCAGATGGAGCTGTCCTCTGAGCTTGCATTGTAACTGCATCCAAAGATAAAGTCAATATCAGAAACTGAAAAATGTAGTTTTGACAGGGTCTCAATCAACCAGCACAAAGCAAAAGTTCGACACAACTTTTGCTTGGTTGGACTGGTATTTGAATTCACGCTCAAATATGACAGATACTATTTTCAGGGTCAAATCTGATTTGACATATCTTGTAAACTCATCTTGATAGGTCAAATCACCAGAATCCTAAACTGCCATTATCAAGCATGAACATTGAAAGGATAAAAAATAGTAGAATGAAACTTCCTCTCACATGTTGCTGATCTCCAGACATTGACGTTTACATCACTAAGAAGATTCAGTAAGCAGGAGCACTAACAGAAGCTACATATATTTACAGCAGTGTCGTCGCCACCAAACTCATAGATGACTACTCACTTGAAGGAAGATGCTTAGCAACACAAGGATAACCGACTTAATCATTGTCAACGAATCAGAACCAGTAAGGGAAATTATATATACCTGTGAAGTCATATGTTGACTTTGGTTTGATAACACCTATATTAGGCCGGACACAGTATTTCTTAGGTGATGTGGTCTTCACCTGAAAAAGAAAAAAAAACTCTCTTAATCTCAACAAGGAACAACTGTGCATGCATCTCATCTCGAAAGAGTTTATATGAATGCTTGGTTAATCATATTCTCAACAAAATTATCATACCTTGAAAGCTACATATTGGTCTGTGATATTAGCTATGTGAACTGCACATGAACTTTGTTTCTTCACCTCAACTAAAACAAAAGATAAAAGTTAGAAGGACATCCTTTAATCCAAGACAAGTACAAAATGAGATAATAGGTGCTTATGAAGCTGAACTCAAAAATAAGAAAAACATTTTTGATGAATCCTAATCTGCTCGTCTCTAAACTTTAACTCTTTGTTAAACTGTCTTCCTCCTGAACCATGAAGGCATTGTACCGAACATTTCTTATTTGGCAAAATGTCAAATAGTGATAGTATGATAGGTAAGGTAGTTACAATCCAGTAATTACTTTTTTCATCTATCAACCCAAGTAGTCAGTAGAGCATAAGAAATTAAATAACTTCATAAGTAATTGCCTTTGCAGTACTGGATACCATTACGAGCAATGTGAGACACACACATCTAGTAATGCCGGAAGAATATAAAACCACAACAGGCTTCCTCAGCTTACTTTAGATGAAAACCAATCACTACCACTCAGAATAGTAGTCCATAACAAATCTAACACTGTACATTGATTCGATTAAATAGCATGTATTCTTAGTTTAGCAGATGGTGATGCTTTCATAATCATATGTTTAATTCAAATGCAATTGAAGGAAATCAAAAGTACTTGCCAGAAAATGTCAAGTGCACCCCATATTTTCTTTCTAATTTCACTCACTACATTGTAAGGAAATAACTGCAAGGTTTCAAGTACTTACATGTGAACTTGAGTTCACAAGGTTGAATCTCCACTAGTTGTGTGTTTATCATTATTCTTCACCTGCATCCATAGTAATACAATACACATGATTTATCCGGGGAATAACAAGTAAATCAACAAAGCAAAACAGTAAACACCACAAAATAAAAAAAAAGAATAAAAAAAAAGGAAGAGGGATCGCCTGAGGAAAACATAATCAGGTACTTATAGTAACATACCTTCAACTTAACAGATCCAAATCAGAATCAATTATTCACACTGCCGGCTTATCTGAGTGCAAAATAAATTTATGCATCAAAACATTGCTTTACTTAACACACCGTCAATATACATAATTTCTATTTGAAGTCTTTAAGCCAGAAAAAAAGCAGGCAAATTTTGAATCGAATGAATCACATTAGTACAAAGTTCAAATATAAGTCCAGTATTTGCCAGTGATCACTCAAGGAATCGACAAAACAAAAAAAAAAAAGCAACATCAAAGCCAATGCTTACTTACTTACCGAGAAGCATCTAATTTTATCTAGTTCCTAAAAATTTATTCTTCAATTAGGTGAAAGTAGGTGATCCTAAACACTTGTAAGAAGAATGTTAGTATGCGTAATAGTAAACTAAGGCGGATCTTTCTCTCTTACACTCACTCACTCACTTTGCATCGACTGATTTCAGATTCTGGTGCCGTTTGGTAGAAGTTATAAGCTTAGGATCAGAGAAATCGCATCCGTCAACTGAAATTCCAATTTCAGATGCAAAAAACTAGTTTAACAAAGTGATCATACAACAAATCAACAACAAAAAATGAGTGAATAAGCAAAATCAAATCCAATTATTGCTTACAGATGTTCAAACTCCGAAGACGAAATCGCGCAATCCTCCAGTTCTGGTGAAAGCCAATGAGAGAGAGAGAGAGAGTAAGTGATCTGAAACACTGAGGAGAAGAAGAAAGGGAGAAAAGTAGTTGCAAAAATGGTGAAGACTTGAAGCGAAAGGGATGTAGGAATGGGGAATGAGGAACGGTTAACGGAGTTTATGAAGATTTACCGGAGCGCTCCATGCTGCTATTCGCTAATTTGAATTTATTAATCCTTTTTTTTCCCCAAATATACGCGTCGATGTATATATATATATGTGAGTATTTCAAAATGAGAAAAAGGGTCTAAATTCTTCTAAACTTAATAGAGAACTATTGATAATATGTCAAGCTCAATACGAATCAGTATTAGTTTCATGTTTGGATTATTGATAGTTTTAAAAATACTTATTTACTTAACTAATTGAACTTAAATATACTTTGACCTTACAATATGAGTGAAATACATCCCTAAATTCTCACCAAGTTTAGTGGTATTTTCAATACTTTTTCCGATATTTTATTAAGAGTTTTGTACTCCAACAAGAGTTTTGACATCATTTGTTACGTCATATGACAAATTGGGAGTCTGTCTAAGTTTAATTAGCCAAGTAAACTAGTATTTTTTTTAAGACTGTCAATAATTCGAAGACGAAACTAATCATTTACACAGTTTAAGGGTGTTTTAAGTACTTCTCTATTATTATAAATAGCATAATTACATTATAGTCCTTACTATTAGTCAAGTGGAGCATTTATGTTTCTCCCGTTAACGACTTAACGGAGCTACACTGCTACAGCTGACACTAATTTGTTACGTGCCATTTGGTTTGGGTTTAGAGGAGAAATTAGTCTCCAAACAAATTCAGTAATTAATGTGGGTGTGTTTGGTTAGGTTTGAGAAATTTAATTTTCACGTGAGAACCACTAATTTGTTATGCGAATATTTACGTATTATTTTATGTAGAACTAAAACAACATAAAATACGAGTATAGGTTTTAGCTACATACGCATTAAAATTTCTATAATGATAAACTTAAACCTTTTAATATAAAGAATATTTTTTCTTTAAAAAACAAATAAATATTTTAGATTATATGCTATTATATAGTATATCAATAGTATATAATTTAGAGTGCAAGTTCAGTAACGTAAAGCATGAAGCTAACGTGGAAGGGAGCCTCAATATTCAGGTTATCCAAAAAAAGAGGAAGTTTCAAGTTATATTGGGTCTATTATCCAGTGAAATAGGGATATTGACGAGGATGTCACTAATCGTATTGATGCAGGGTGGATGAAATACATGCTCGTACTAGAGTCTTGCATGATAAGAAAGTTCCACCCAAACTTAAAGAGTGTTGGTTAGTCAAAAACTCGTATATACGGAAGATGAGAGTGGCGGAGATGAGGATGCTATGATGAATGTGTTTGCCTGCTAGGAGAGATAAGATTAGAAATGGTGATCTCTGAGACAAGGTGTGAGTGACTTCGGTGGAGGACAAGTTGCGGAGAGTGAGGTTGAGATGGTTTGAACATGTAATGAGAAGATGCATGGATGCACTAGTGTGGAGGTGTGAAAGGTTGGCTAAGGACGATTCCATGAGAGTACAGGTAGACCGAATAAGTATTGGGGAGAGGTCATTAGATTGAACATGGATAATTTCAGCTTACTGAAGATATGACCTTAGTTAGGAGATTGCGGATGACACAAATTAGGATATAAGGTTAGTATGCGAGAATGATCATTATCGTGTTGTTTGCTCATACTAGCAGTTGTAGTATTACTTTTGTAGTTCCATGTCCTTCGATTTTTGTTATTGTCTATTATTTCTAATACTTCAACAATCGTATTGTTTTATTACAATCCGTTATCTTATTAATATTTGTTATATCTTGTTTTTTCATTATTTCTTTTATGGACTGCTTTGAATTATCTTTTTCACTATTGAATCAAGGGTCAATTGGAAACAACTTCTTTGTTTCTAATATAAGGGTGAGGTCAACGTACACTATAGTTTTCTCAAACTCTAATTTATGGAACTACATTAAGTATGTTGTTGTTATAATTATATTAAATAGTAATTTGTAACATATGAATCATTCAATCAAAAATAGCATTTGTATTATTACTTTATATTCCTTCTAGTCCAAATTAAATATTTTTTTGTGGTTCAAATGAATTAATTTTTCAAAATTCTTTTCTTTAATAGTGGGGGTTTTCAACTATTTCTAATTTTATGAGAGTTTGAAAAGTAGAAAGGGGGAATATTGACACATTAGCATGTAACTAACCTTTTAAGGATTGTAAACTTCATTTATTTTGAACACAAAAATATATTTTACTAATACATACATCACAATGCTTCCATTACCATACATACCTTATTCATCATCTCTATGTAATTTAAATTTATTTTTGAAACGAACACTAGGGTATCAAACGTGTTAATTGAATCGGATATGATAGATCAAATAAAAATAAAAATTCATATTTAACACGAATAAAAAATAGGTTAACCCGCAAATAATACAGTGTTCTCTTCTTCCGGCCAAAAGGAAAAGGCAAATCTTCCAACTTTGTGAAAAAAGTATATGAATAAACCATATCAACATAAAGCCCAAAAGCAAAAGAAATCAGCAAATGGAAAAAACGTATACTTTATGTTTACACCAAATAAATAAATTTTTAAAAAAAAACATAAATGGGCATACCAAATCAAATAATAAATAAAGTCATATCAAAACATACTGAAATTGAAATTAAATCTCTTACCACTTAGCACCACAGACAAAATTAACACATTTTAGACTAGACTACATTGACACTTTACATGGGAAGTCTTGAAATATAACATATGTAGCTTCTATATGTTTTGTAAAAGATATAAATTAAAATTTAAAATTTGAGCCAATCGTTGGAAACTGTTAATAAATTTATCTTAGTTTACATAAAAGCAAAAGAAATCACTCTCATCTTTTGAATTAATAATAGATTAGTTGCAAAAAGTTGCTGTTTATGACTTTGAGTTAAAGGCATAAAGTTGAGATGGTGTTTTTAAAATCAATTTTGCATTTGATTATCTAAAGTAATTGAGTGCTTTAACCTAAGCAGCTTGGGATCTTCACCCATAATTTTGAGAGGGGGAGTACTTTAAGAGTCTGCTTGGCATTGCTATTGGAATAGCAGAAATACTTGTTTCGAAAAAAATAAATTTTTTATTGAAAAATTATGTGTTTGGAAAATCAGTAAAAGTGTATATATATATATTATTAGTTAATTAACATATCCATAAGTTGGTTAAATTTTATTTAAGAATTTTATTTTTTTATTTTTATATAATAAATTATATATTTTTTATAGCGTTTATGTATTATTTATTTTATATTTTACATATTATTTTACAAAATTGGGAAAAAAGATAATAACATTATTTTTGTAAGGTTAGAAAAAAGAGAAAAAAAAATTACAATTAAAGATTTCAACTCTCCCAAAAAAAACATAATATTGATTGAAAAATTAAATATGTACATGTTAATTTAATAAAAATAAAATTTTAATAATAGATATTTAAAATAGTTTCTTTCTATAAAATAATCTTAATATTAAAAGTACATTAATAGTTGTCATTTTTCGTAATTTGACTCTCAAAAACACTTTTAAAAAAAGACCCATCAAACACAATTTGCTTATGAAAAACACTTTTCAAATGAATTAGTCAAACACAAATTGCTAGCACTTTCTAAAAGCCATTTTAAAAATGTACTTCTAAAAATAAGTCGTTTTTAGCAGCAATGCCCAAATAGGCTCTAAGCCTTATAGGGTGGGTTCGTTATTTTAGGAAAATATTTTTCAATTTTCGTATGTATGAATGATTAAAATTTTTGAAAAATATTTCTTTTTAGAAAAATTTCTTAAGAATAAGAATAATGATTTCTTTGGTAAAAATAGAAAAATAAATAACATCTCATATATATATATATATATAAAAAAAAGAAACATATCTTACCTTTACCTTAACCCCCGCTAGCCCCCATCCTAATTAACCACCCGACACCCCAGTATCCTTATCTTCACCTTTCATAATATTTGTTTAGATTATAAACAAATATTTTTAGAATAATATTTTATTATTATCAAATATAAGAAAATCTACTTATTTTTCTAAAACTATTTTCTTGTGAAAAAAAAAACATTTTCCTCGTATTGAATAGTCTACCAATGTTCTTTTTCTTCTTTTTGGAAAAGGTGAAGCTTTTGAATAAAAGATATAAAACCTAATTTATATATGGGTAAAATTAACTCATTCAACGTTTACATCAATCTGTAATAATTTATTACAATTAGATTATAAATTGAAATTAAAATGTTAATTAATTATAATTAGTGAAAATAAATATTAATTAGTTTCGTTTAATAATAAGCTCATTTTGTATGACTTAGTTGTTATTTGGGAAATCTTGTTTGTGGCTATTTGGAAAATCGAGTAATCTCTTTTCTAAATAGTACAATTTTTCTAACAAAATTAATTCTTTCTAGGGAAAGTTGCATTATAGCAAATTATTAATTCAAAATAAATGTTATAGCTATAGTTTCATTTAATTTCAATTTAGCATACACATTGTCATTTTCTCCTCTCTCCCTGAATCTCGCTCGTCATTCTCAATTCTCTCTCTCTCGCCTCTCTCACTTTTATATAACACACAAATGTATAAATTGTGTTTGTGTGTATAAAGCGGGAAAGACTGTATATACACATACATATTTCCCCGTCCTATACACTTATAATTATACTAAAAGAAATCTTCCCCTGCCACTTCTCTTTTCTCTTCTCTCTCTCTCTCTATCTATCTATATATATATATATATATATATAAAAACAAATTATACAAATACAATGTACAATTTGTGTTTTTATAAAACGAGGGAGAGATTTGATATACAAATGTTTCAACTCGATTCAATTGTATACAAATTCAAATTTTATACAGACATACAAACACAATCATTAATACATACACATAGTTGTTATATATATATATATATACACACACAATTATCTAACCAATATACATATACAACTCATCTCTCTCCACTCTCTGCCCTCTCTCGCTCGTCTCTCTCCTGATCTTGCTTTCCACTCTATCCTAACACAAAGAACATATATATATATATATATATACAAACACAATTTT